ATCCACAGCGAACTCTGCTGGAGACAGGTGGAACTTCTCCAGATCCCAACAATTCTGACTTTTTTCCCATACTAAACTGAAATAAAATTTTAATCAGTCAACTTTTTTTTTTTTCAGTGGCCCTAATCCTCTTCCGTAACAATGCACTGTATATAAGCGTGCTAATAGAAATTGGGGTGGAAGGAAAAGCTGTTAGAAAGGTGCACAAAAAAATAGGAATTACCTGTGTTTAGAGGCGCACGAAGTTTTGAGAGCAAGTTGAGAAGCTTCTAAAGGAGTTGCGGTACTGATGCATCCAGAACTTATTATTATATTTTGGATTTTCTTATTAAATAAAGATCAGAGCATCCTGGAGAAGAGGGATCTCTTCTGATTTACAATGCAGACACACATGTGCAGGCACACTGCTTTTGGACAGACATTTGCAGTAATGGAGGCCAAATAACAGCTTACCACTCAATATAAGAAACTAGGAATCATCTAACATATTTAGGTCAAAACTGAAAGATTAGGTGAAGGAAAATCAAACATGTCATCAGTAGACTGTCCTCGCAACAGCATTTTCTGTGTGCCTTTTTTTTCTTTATGTTTGTTTGTGTGTGGATGTGTGCATGCTTGCAAATGTGTGTGCATGTGGCCAGGTATCTCTTTTATTCTGGGGACCATTTTCCATAAATCAAAGCACACTACCAAGTCCCCATCGGTACAAAGGCTGTTTTATGTGTTAAGCTTAGGACTAAGGTGTGAATTGAGTTTAGGTCAGGGTTAGGATTAGGTGTTAAGCGCTAATGGTTAGATTTAGGGTAAGGGTCACAGCTTGGCTGTAGAAATAGGTTGGAATAGAATCGAATTTTTTGGTTACCTGCCTAGAGACTGCAGATTAGCACTGGCGCTACAATCTGGCATATTTATGTGGTAAACACTCATTAATATGCACTGTCCTGTCAATTAGGTACTGCTTACTGATGCAGTTCAAGGAGGCCCAACCAAGTGTTGATTGGATACCTGTTGACATGCATTTTTGGGACAATAAACATTTGGTTTTCATTTTGTCTACTTACTGCAATTCCAGTTAAATATGGATTGGAAGCTTAAAAGGTTCATTTTTGGCAAATGGACAGAAGTTTCTAGAAGATGTTTCACCTCTCTTCCAAGAGGCTTCTTCAGTTCTAACTACAATTCAACAACAATCTAGAAATAAGTCAAAATTTCTTCTTTTGAGTAGATAAATAGAAGGATTTATAAATGGAATTCATTTTTTTTTACTATTAAAATAAGATAATTAGACAATATGCACTTGAAATAGGGCCTAACACAAAAAACTATTTTTCTTATTTTAAATATAAATTGGCAATGTGTCTGGCTTACCTCATTAATTCCAGAAAAAATGCACTCATTTTTTGTAACATCTGAGATTTTGTAACATCTGCAATATATCAATCTCAGTGCTCCCCACCACAAGTTAGAACTGAAGGAGCCTCTTGGAATAGAGGTGAATCGTCTTCTAGAAAACTTCACGTCCAGTTGCCTAACCTGAACCTTTCAAGCTTGACCGTGACCCAGATGACTGAGAATCTCCACAGATATGGGCTTGAAATATTTCACTCTGTATGCTATGAATCCAAAATGAGTTTTACATTCTAAAATGATATAAAAATATAAAAAATTATCATCTGATTTTTAGGAGGTGTGTACACAGTGCACAGCCTACTAAAACTAATGTATTCCTTTTTCAAATTACTATTTAATTGGTCTTATATAATATGGTATTTCTGGAAAAAAAGCTTTTATTGAAATCATGTTAGTAATGTTTTTTATTTGATTTGTTTTCTGAGTTGAATTATTAAAATAAATGAACTAATTTAGTGTAAATCATAATGAATATTTGTTTATGGTAAAAATGCGCATCAGCCTCTTTACAGTCTTTATTATAAAAGCCCATTCTTATGCTTATCATGAGAGAAAAATTGTGATTTGCTCATGGCAAAGCACTATTATAGAGAAAGCCTTGTATGCACCTGCTCCTAATCTGTCAGCTGGGGGCCAGTTTGCGCGCATCTTACTGTCACGGACACATGGAGGCGCCAGAATACTCAAAGCATCGATCCTGTACTTGTATTGACTTGTAGCTCCAATTTCAAACCAGACGTGAAACTCATTCAGATGCCTCCCTCTTTCTCCGCTGCTCTGTCTCTCTCCGGAGCTGGTTTTAGCCGCATGTCACTCAGTCTCTCAGTCAGTCAGTGGCCCCGGTCCGCTGCGTCTGCGCCTGTCTCCACAGCTCTCCAAAAAAGCGAAACGCGCCACCGCCGCCGCCACTGCGGGCATGACATCCAAGCAGTAGTGGTAGTGGACTTCTGTCGGTCGGCTTTTCACGGGATTTAAAAAAAAAAAAAAAAGGAGTCGAAGAGACTTGAAAGAAACAGAGAGGGAAGAGACTCATTTCTGGCCGTGCAGTGCGTCGAGAGGAGTTGATGAGTCAATGGCTGGAGCACAGCCTGGAGTTCATGCGTTGCAGCTCAAGCCAGTGTCCGTGCCGGAGTGCCTCAGAAAGGGCAGCAAATTTATGAAATGGGATGATGTAAGTAATGGATAACCTCTAATAATGATAATAAAGCTCTATTCACAGAAGTGTTTTTTATGTATTTATGTGGATATTTTTGGATAATCTATTCGCTTTAAAGCGAATAGATATTTGAATGCATATTTCCCAGAATGTTGCATGTTACACAATCTATGAGCGATCCATGCAACAACATAATGGATGGATATATTTGCTGTGGAGACTGCAGTGAAAGGGACTCATCGCTTTGCCTTCCTGTTTAAATGCAGAAATGCTGCAAATATGCAGCACCCTGACATGCGCTTTGTTTACATCTTAATGCAGAGTATTTGTAAGTGAGTGAGCGCACGTGCCGCTTCCAATGCTTTTGTGGAAAAAAATTGATCAATAATTCAAATTAACTTTTTTTTTACTTAACCTTGTTACCTCTAAAAAAAATGTAAGTACAACAAATACAAAACGAATATTTACAACATAAATATCTTCCCTTTTTCTCAATATTTCATTAAGGTGATTTGAAATGACCTCAGATTTAGTAAAACCTACTTTTTCATCTGACCCTTAGGCACCTTTTTTCAAGAAATGAATTAACCCCTCTCTCTTGTCACCCTGTATTGACTTCACATAAAGCTCTCACTCTTCAGTTAGATTTAAGTCAAATTACTTTCATATTTTCTGCCATGCTCTCATCAAGGTATAATTGAAAAACCTTTTATGGCTCTCCTTATTACCAATTTGAATAACTGAATGCTCCTGCAATTAGGAGCTTGAGTGTATATTTTTGACATTTGTATTTCACTTTCCCCATTTTCTTTTATTTGTTTTCTTTTCTTTTTGCACTAACACTTGAAGATGACCCATAGTGATGCTTTCTGCTCTGTTACTCAAATAATTCGAACATTTCTTTAGATATCACAGTTCTTGTGTGCTGTGCAATGCTTCAAATAAACTGCTTTTCCTCTTATTTAGGGTGATATTTAAATATAGATTTATGCAATACGTGGTGAAAATGCATGTTTAGATGGTTGTGCTCCAGGTGAGCCAAGCACAGCACAGATGGATGAGGATTGCAGAAGTGTGAGCACAGTCTGTCCAGATTACAGTGAGGGAATCTTGCAGTTGTAAACATTCCAGTCTGTCAATCATCAGAAGACCCGTGAAATGTTTAACTTACCAAAGTGCTCATTCCATCAACTTTGTCTTTGTTGTAAAAAGGGGCGTCAAGTGTGTCATTTCCTCTAACATCATTTTTGTGCACAACCTTTGCCAAATGCAGCCGTATCTCCAGAGCCAAATGCCTGCCAGTCCTTTCCTGGGAAATAGAGACACACCCACAGATATTTTTTCTCTGTCATTTCCTATACAGATCCTTCCTATTTCCTCCCTGTATCATTTGGTGGAAAGAATCACAGTGGGAAAAGGAGCCTAACTAAGAGTCAGGGGCTATAATAATTTGGCAGAGGAGAAGAATTTTATTAAATTATTTTTCTTCTTATCAGAGCTCTGGGTTTTGGGCTTCTCGCCTTTTTTGTTCCCAACATTGAATTGTGTAAGTCATAAAAAAAAAAAAAAAAAACCTCAGATAAGGATGACTCTTTCATTTATTGCTTTTCTCTGATGTGGGTTTTATTTATTTATATTTCTGCATTGGTGAAAATTACATTATACTTCCTTTTTTTCATGTCTGCACATGAAAGATGTAGCATTTGTTCACAGTGCAGAAATCACATATGTCTGAACAGCGGCCACAATTTAATGGAAAAGCAGACGGTATGAGAAACTGAGGTAGACTCCAGGGTGCATAGCTTTTTGGTTCATTGTTCAAAAAAGAACAGAAGAAGGGTCTGAACACCTCTAGAAATGTTCCCCTTATACACAAAGGAAAATGGATCTTATGTACTTCAACTTTCAGACATTCAGATGCAATAAACATTTCCATCTCGTTTTTAAGTAATCTTAAACAGAACCGTTGACTCGGTTGCACAAATTAGACGTTTGAGATACATTTCTGTAAAGCTTTGATTTGCTAATGTTTTACTTGTTTCTAATTTGTCTTTAAGAACTGTAATTAACATTCAATAAGTGTATTTTCTCTAGCCTTTTTGTCCTGAACGATCATTAACAAATTATATCAAGAGCAGAGGCGATGGCACTCAGCGTGTTTGAGAGAGACAAACAGAGGTTAATTATTTTAAAGAATAGATAGTCAGTTCTCAGTTGGATCTGTTGTTTGAATCTAATATTAAAGATTAGGACCATTAACACTAGCATCACTAAAGCAGCAAGCTCTTGACTCTTATTTTAAGCCTGAGATTTCCAAAAGATTGCGGACTTCATCGATTTCCTCTGTTCCACGGTGCACAAAGGTTGAAGTAAAATAGAGAAAAACATGCAGTGTAACTCTAAGACATCTGCTGGGGGTCTAACAGTGCCACTATGAATGAAAGCCGACATGGCATAAATGTTTTCTTTATATAGCTTCTTCTATCAATGTTTCCATCACACCTTAGCTTTAAACCCGTCACTGGAACCTTATACAGCTAACCTTTACATTCCACATTTATTGTTATTTGTTTTTTCTTTGGTTCATTTAATAATGGTTAAAATGTTCTGACTTTTGAGTTTATTACTGGTCATTTCACCAGTTAGGCCAAATGGCCAAATTGTGATCACAGGCTAACTTCTTGGTGAATCCCCACTTATGACTGCTTTCTAATAATAAAGAATAGAGGCTAAGCACTTACCATAAATCCTCATTGAGGAATCAGATTTTCCTCTGGGTTGCTTCTTTACTTTCCCTATACTGTATGATGCACTCTGAATAAGATCCTATCTGGATGCACAGAGAGCCTAAAATCCAGTAAAACTACTAGGATATGTCATTAGCACAGAGCAGAAATGTGCTGAGCTCAAATCTCCTCACTAACGTCCCCCCTTAGGTGATGGCTAATGGTACAGACGCTTCACCAAAATAATAATGACAGTCTTTCTTGCGAGGGATCAATGACTGCAGGGCATTTGTACTTTTGCAAGTGAGCCAGTTATCATCATCTACCCTTCACTTAATAAAAAAGAAGACCACTAAGCTTGTTCAGTCAGATGAATATGAAAAAAATAGCTTAACTGAACATTTTGACCTTGGTTGTTGTTGGTTTGGAAAACAAGCTGGAAACAACAACAAAATAACACACAACAGTCGGTTTCTTTTGAATTTTAAACCACATATTATGAACCACAGGAACCTTTCTGCTTCTTTCTTTTTGGTCCCATGAGAAAGTCTTCACTTAGAGCCGATAATGGCTTAATGTGTTAGTTGTGGAGGCCATAGAGAGTTAAAACATTAGGACAGAAGCTGGTGAAAATTACTGCTTTCACATCATCTGGTTGATTCCCGGAGCTCAGAAACTATTCCTTTTTTGTTCACTGATATTAAAACCAATCCATCAAGTGCCACATCCTGTTAGTTGCATAAATGCTTGAATTAGTCTAATGGAAATAGAACCGTTTTTATGGAAAGCTGTTGATCCACCTCATTAATGATTCATTTTCTAGGAATAACTGATGTGTTGATTGAGTGCAGGAAATTGATATTTAGTTATTTTAAGTGCAGTTGGAGAAAACAGAAGCAGACAGTGATTTAAAAGAGTCCATATGAACTGTAAGGCCGCAGATACAGCAGTCGAAAAGTTCACTCTGAACTTTCAACTATTTCTCTAGTAGCAAACAAAAATGAAACTGTATTTTATTTGGATCGTATGTGATAAAACGAAACAAAGTTGTCTGAAATCTGAACCCTAAAAAAGAGCAGCTGTTTTATTCTCATGAATTAAACTACTGCAAAAATAAAATATAACTGATCATCCCCTCGACCACACTGGCTCTGTAATGAGAGGGTACAGGGTCAGGTTGTGGAGATATTCTTTAGCATAAACAGGGAAGCTAGTCATCATTGAAGGGAAGATAGATGGAGCATCAGTTAGAGGCTGCCAAATGTTGAGACAAGAGTGCTGGATTTTGCCCTTAGCAGGAGGACTGGCATAAACAAATATCTAAAATTATATAAGTTCATGTTAACATTTTATTATGTTCAACTCACATTTAAGACCTCAGACTGTGTGGAAAGACTTAAAAACTGTTATTTACAGATGTTATTCATATGAACAACAAATACAGATTTGCCATGTAGCATTTAGAGTATTAATAAACCTATTTCAAAAGCATTTATAATTTTCTCATCAACTCAAAATTGGTAACTACTTTGTACCACTTATAATCTACTAAGAAAGGGAAATGGGGTATGAATAATTTTCAAAAGTGTGTTTTTTTTGTTCATTCAAGCCTGCACAGATTGTGCAATTACACAAGTAAACAAAAAAAAAAAACATTCTTCTATTAGATTTCACATGAATGTTGAGTTGCCATAGTGAGCATCACTATAGCAAATGCCTCTGATACAGCACACCACCAGTTCTTCCTCTGAAAATGTCACCCGTTTAGGTTTTTTGCTCAGTTCTATTCTCTGTTTCCCTCAGTGTCCATACCCCTCCATCATGGAGCAGGTGTGTCAAGAAGTGTAATGTCATATTTACAAATAATAAAATGTTTTTATTTATCATGTTTTTTTGCACCACACTACAGTCCAATCTGATGTCTAGCATCTCCTAGTCCAAAGCTTTCATGATAAGTCAAACTGTAAATGGCATGGGGTCACACTCAGATATAACGCGTGTAGCAGATTTTCACCATTAGCTCTGCCTCCAAATGTTGTGATAGGGTCCTCATTAGTCGTCTCATGGGGACACTTTGAAGATTTTTGTCGCTCCGGGCAGCAAATGGGATTTGATTTCTGTGTTCTCATAGATTTGGCTGATTGAAGAGGACAATATTCTACTGTTCAGTTGAACCTCTGCCACTATTGATGCCGAAAAAAGGGCAAAGCCTTCTTTTTATAGAAGCATCCAATAAAATCGGGCGTTGCCATGTGTGCCCTAAGGTCAAACTGTGTTTGTGAAACATGGAACTGTCCTTATATAGATGCTGAGGGAAAGCATTTCCCGTCACAAGCAGGAAAACTAAAAACATCAGCTTTAAAACAACCTGCAGCTATGAATGCTGCCACAGCAAATACAGTCACAGACCCGTGTGCTGGTCATTTGTGGCAATGCCTTCTCATGAATTAGAAAGTACCCTATATGGAAAGGATTGTGTGCAAGTTGCAACGTAAACAGCAGTTTTAATGTCATTCCAGGCTTTGGAATGCCAGCGGTGTTAAAAAAGTATGCTTTGATGCTGACAGCGAAATTAACTGGTTTACCTCTGGGAATATTCTGCCATAGTACTCCTGTGTAAGCTACCAGAGGCATGCAGTGTTACGCTGTGACACACTGATTCATTCCAGATGTTTTTTCTTTTTTTCTACAGGATTCGACCACTGTGACCCCTGTGACTCTAACAGTTGACCCCAAAGGGTACTTCCTCTATTGGACCGACCAAAACAAAGTAAGGCAGCAAATTTTTTGTCTATTTGAGAAAAAATTTGGATTGCAAATGCTTTAAGTCCAAAATTCAACTTTCGTACCTACAGGGCAGCAAAAAAAAAGTCTTCTTGTATTACATATATGTTATTTATTGATAGGAGAGGCAGCAGCAGCAGTGCTTTTTTATAATTTTGCTTTAAAATAATCAATCCCTGCTTGTTTTGAGAGATGCAAAGCAGGGAGAAAATATGAGAAAATATCAGAAGGGTCCGTTAATATTTAAGCCATCAGATGAGGGGCAATAGTCCTAAATGAGAACAGGTGTCAAGGCTAAGAAATATGAAAAAAAATGTATCTGCAGGCACAGTTATACAAACAGGATAGCTCTTTGTGTTTGCAAAATGGTAATGTTGTTTTTCCCAATACAGCTGAAATTCTCGATGGTTATGGTTTGGTTTGGGTCTGGATTGTCACGAGATTCCCTCAATATCATCACCTAGGATTCAAATACTATTAAAATGAGGAAGGAAGCATCTTGACTGGCAGTGTGCAGGAGCATATGTGGAAGGGGGAATGTTGTTTTACCCTTTTTATACACACATGGCCTCTTTTGATAAGAAACATTTAAACTGTCAAAACTCTCACTAAACCATAACTTTAACTAATCCAAAATGATCATCTGATTACAGCGATGCACCATACTTATCAACTCCTGCCACTATATAATTCAATGCTTAGCCCTATATTCTGTACTCAATAGTAGATTCTATAGTGGAACCTCTAGGTTTAGTTGCAACCTACAGATCAGTTAAAAACTATTTGGCTATCTTTATTATAAATACAGGGAGACATTCTTGTGTCTATTTGTAAAACAAAACAAAAAATGGATCCAGGTTGGTGTGCACATGTTGTCTATTGGTGCCTTCATTCCACAATGAGTGTCTGGAAACACCCTTTACAACAACAGAAGATTTCCCCTAGATCTTTTGAAAAATAGAATAAAATTAAACCTTTTTCCTGGAGTGCTTGCCGACACCAAGATTATGAAAATGAGCTCTGTCAGTTTGTGTCAGATAATCAAGCACTTCATCCTTGTTGACTCCTGTAAAAGTGAACACGATTTGCATTGCCCATATTTTATTACCTCTGCCAAGGAGGTCATGTTTTCATTGCTGTCGGTTTGTCTGTTTTTAAAATAACTAAAAAAAGTTATGGACGTATTTTGCTAAAATTTTTAGAGATTGACAAATGATTACATTTTGATGGTGATGCCAATCACCATCTGAATACAGGAAAGGATATAAAATATTCTGTGAATACAGGTAATAACTTAAGGTGGGAATCACAATATGTCGGGAAAAGTGAGATACTTGGCGGAGGTCTGCGCTCTCCTTGAGCTTTTCTAGACCTGTTTATTTCAATGTACAGTAGAGCTGTTGAGTTCTGGGACCTGATTACTTTGGCGAGCACATATCTGCTTGTCTGACGCCTCCAAACAGCTCGATAGGGGTAATGTGTTCCTGTTCTATTTATGAGTAGAACTTTATCAGCAGTGTTAGTCTTGCAGAGACTAATTAATAGCAACCATTGATTTGATGCTTTCCTAGATGAGCATATTTTACTGCAGTGATAGCAGAGCACAGACAGGAGTGCTGACCGAGACTTAACCTCGCCACACAAGCCCATACACACGTCTTCCACTCCTGCTTTCTAACAGGGAAAGGATGCTATTAGGTTGCCAGCCTAATGTAAATAATACACTGTCTGTGGAAAAAGTGTCTGCATGGAAAAAGTACAATTCTATTAAACAATTAACAAGGAAAGAGAAGTGAGTGATAAACTGTGAGAGTAGCTTACTAGGAAAATTAAGAGAGGCTGGGACAGGTTGAAATGAGTTCACTATTGTTTTCTGCCCCTCCATTATGAGGCAAGGAGTTTGACTGATGAGGCTTTTGCATCTATGTGTCTGGATTTGCTAGTGTGTGTTTATGGATGTGAATGTCTGCTCAGTCTCCCAGCACTGAGAACAGTCCTGCCTCACACATAATAACTCAAGCTGATACCAAGCAAAGCCTGGGTGAAACTCTATTAGGGCATACAGAAGGGCACACACTATTCCCCTTTGTGCAAATGTGTGTTTCTCTTGTGCTTGCAAATATGCCTTTTCTTGTATTTGCGAATAGTTATTCATATAGTATTAGACATGTGTTCAACAAAAGGATTCAAACAAGCAGTGATGCCCTGTTCAGTTGATACGGGTGTTTGTGAGACTCAGCCTGATGGCCTGCAGAGTAAAAGCATTCCTTGGATTCTTCAGAAGCACAGCAGAACTGTACTCAGTGTGCCAACTGCACTGACTCTTAAACTGTCATTATCACTGATAGATTCAGGTATTTCCTGTACCACTGCTTCATTAGCTTTTTTATGTTTGGCTTTTTAATGATCCTCCTAAAAAAACAAAAAATTAATTTAAGGGTTTTAGTCACCAAAATGTTTCTAGTACTCAATTATTGAGATCTGTTTCTAAGAGGATTATAGGACCCCCACTTTTTAATGTGGTTTAAAGAACAGCCATTTTTGAAGGTGAAATTTTTTTTATTGTTTTTTTATTTTCCTTTATCTCTGACTGATCTTTTAGTGCATCAATGCTAACAGAAGTTAAGCCAGCAGTTTTAAGAAGAATTTATTTAAACAAGCTAGACCTACTCAGGGGCCCGAAAGTGTTTGTGTTTGAGTGCGGCTAACTGTGGTGCTGTGATTTACTATGTAAAAGTGCTAGTTAAACAAAAAACTTTGGGTCTGATCTTAAAACACGTGCAAATGCATTTGTATGTGCAGAGCAGACAATTAAAGAAGGTGCAAAGCAATTTCCCTGTGCAGCTCAGCAGACAAACTGTATTTGCCTTCATCAACATACAGATATTCTAATCACCAAATGTAAACAGAAACTGAACTGCGGCCGCAGTTTGTGCATCATTTTAAATACTTCTGAAATTCAGGTGCAAACTTGGACGGAAAATAGCTGTGGTCATTGTTTCCACGAAGGAGGCATTAGTATAACACCAGAGGACGGTGAGATATGCTGTGCACATGTAAACATATTTGGTGGTCAGAATGAGCTATAGTTGATTAATATTACTAAGGAAAAAACATCTATCCAGGAGGCGACACATTAATACACCGTGATGATACCCGATTGCTGTACAATCACACTAAAGTGGAAACAATGACTTAACTTAGATATTGTGGCTTGTTTCTAAAAATTATTGGATTCTAACAGGGCCTGCAAAGAGATATAACGGTTGGAAGTGCACATCTCAGGGATTTTTTCTTCCTTGATTTAAGAAAGCATAACCATGCACGAAGCATGGTAATGTTTTTTTGTTTATCTTTTGTTTGCAGCACTTTGAAATAGTCTACCTGTGTGAGGTGCACTTTAAATTATCATTATTATTTTTAAATTATTATCGGCATTACCACCATCTACATGGCTTTGAGCTTTATTTTTCTCAAACTGTATAACATGCAATCTGTTTATTTTTATGTGAGGAACCAAACTGGTTTGCATATACTTAACCTTTTTGCAGCAATCTTTTTAGGTCTTCAGCAACACACCCACTTATTGGATGTACTAAGAAAAAAATTAAACATGCAATTTATCCTCCCTTGTTTGGAATCTTTGAAGATCAAGCACTTTGTGTTTTTACTGCAGGAACTGACATGTTTTTGCCAATTACTAATCCAAATTTGTAAAGAAAAGAGCAATCAAGAATATCTAGATTTTAACATGGCCAGAGTAAGTTTTTTTTTTTATTTTTCCTGTCTCTCAGCTGCTTGTAGACATTGGATCAGATTCATGCCATATTCCATTAAGCTTAAAACAGTCATTCAGTCTTTGACTGTCATGATTTTATTTTTCCAAGAGATATAGGCTGATGACCTTAAAGAACGGTGAGCAGAACCCCTTCGTTTGTGAGGTAGCTTTAATTCTACAACATTTCTACAGTCTATAGAACTACAGCAAAGTCTGTGCTACATATTGATGCACCTCCTTATTTATAAACTGTAGTTAAGACTGATTTTGAATATCTATTAAAATATGTCAGATATTGTTTGAAAATAGTCAAAGATAGAAATAAATTAGCGGTGGTTTGGAAATTTGGCATGTACAACATTGCAATCGGGTGTTGGTCTTTCCCTACAAAAGCAGGTCCTTTCTCTGGCTTGGCATAATGACTGTGCTCAGAGAGAACTAGTGTTATATTGAAAGTTTAATAATGATACAGCTCCTAAAATGTGTTGGTATAAGTCAAATTCCCATTCCCAAGTAACAAAGATGTTTAGCAATTTTGATACTTCCTTCCTTCTAAAAAACCTTTTTAGTTAATAAGTATATTAATAAGACGTTTAATAATCATTAACTAAAACACACTGGCCAAAACCTGACCTGTTTTTTCCTGTTAGAGACATACTGTAGGTATCTGATTTATCCACAAGGATAATACGGAAACATTTACATTGGATAAACACAGAAAACTAAAAAATGTTTTAATAGTATAAATACTTTAAAATTGGGCTGAGGCAGCAATATAACCTGCCCACTTCTCCATGAGCAGAACGAACTTTAGATATGCTTTTGTTATTTAGTAATCAAGTCTCTTAAGATTAGAGTATAGAGACCTTAAAAAAGAATGACCTAATCTAAAAGCTTCTCCTAGTTTTAGCCTGCCTCTTTATTGGTGGTAAAGACTTTCTTTTTTCTTTTTGCTATTTTAGTATTCTGCAAAGGACTTCCAGAGGTTAAAGAAGATACATGTTCAGCCACTGTTTGACTTTTCATGAAGATGTAGAGGAAAGCTTGGAGACATATCAATGGCAACAATTCAGGATGTGAGCTGAAAGAGGCTGGATCAAATGATAAGCTTAATTTGATTTTTCACTTCCCTCCCTTTAGCAGTGGACTCATGCCAAAATAAAACCTCTAACAAAGCTGCTCCTGTTGCAGGGAATTCAAATACTGTA